GAGAAATGGAAAGTCACATTCACAGGTCATTTAATCTCTTTGTTTTGTCATGGGCTGGGCCTCTGGTGCTGTTTTTCTGCCTCGCGCTCTCGCAGAAAACCGAGAGACATCCCTCCCGTTCAGAAATGAACAATTCTCATCTGCCTCCAAGAATTTCCTTTCTCGTGCATTTCGTTGGGTGGTTTTGTGACTCTTGCAGTGACTCTAGGATTGAATGTGTGTTCTGATGAGAGCTTTGGGTCTGGATGGGACTACAAAAGCGTGTTTAACTCTCTCAAAATGGCTTTTTATTTCACGAGTAACCTTGAGGTTCGATACGCGCAGACCTAAGCTGCACTTAAGATTCCAGTCGTACGGAACTGACTCGGGATATCGGCCATGTCACTTCAGTGTATGCACAGGCTTTGCCATACCTCGCTTACTTAATGATCTCAGTAATTTAGATGTTAGAATTAGGCATGTGCAGGCGAGCAGAATCGGAGTTGTAAACACCGGTTTTGCAGATCTGTTTGTGTATTCCGACGAGATTATAGTCTTGTGTTAAAAGCCTGCTGGGTATGTGAGGCTGGTGTACCCCCCCCCCCCCCCCAGTACCATTCATCACCTCCTATCACACGTGCCATGTTCTTTGCTCCCCAGCTGGAGTGCTTTCAAGCTATATAATGCGAAATGACAGACTGAAACCAGAGGTGGAGTGATATGCGGTTTGAAGAACCGAGGTAGAGAAAGCTGACCTGCTAAAATTCCCTGTTTTGTGTCATGTTCTGTTGAGATGGGAGGACAGCGCGGGGAGGAGGAGGGGGGGAGGGATCAAAGAATGATTTGGGCGGTAACTGTGAAAGACTTTTTTTTTGTTTTTATTATTTGTTTCAGGCGGCACACACCTGACACTCCTCAATCTCTTGCCTTGCCCTCTTCCTCTGCACTTCTAATCTCCTCCGCACTCGTCTCTTCTTATGTAACCGCAGTGATTGGATACCCTCGAGGTTGCACGGGTGGCACCAGGGGGGGGGGGGGGGGGGGGGGGGGGGGGGTCAAAGGCAAGAGAGGCTCGGAGGAAAGTGAAGAGGCATCGTCTAATGCTCCTCCTCCATGCCCCGAATGGAGGAGGAGGTCTTATATCAAGAGGTGTTTTATTTATCTGTCTATTAACCTACTCTGTCTTTGTTCTCTACTTACTTTCTATTTACAGTTTGTTTCTCAGCAAAACGTTTTTTACGAGAAAAACATGATCGTAAATAGTGACGTGTAAAAAAAAAAAAAAAAAAAAACCCAACTTGTCAGACTTAAGGAAGTTAAATCACCCAGCTGTGTTTGTACCGCTTTGACTCC